CCCCCCCCCCCCCCCCCCCAAACTCTCTTGGCGTCGACTGATCTCCGTTCTGTTGCCCCTGAAAACCAGGAGAAATCGAGGCTTTTAGAAAAAATATTCTCCGACGTTTTGGAAGACATTTTAGAATTGTCACGGAATTATCATCGATGTGCCAGAAATTTAAGCCGTCAGTTATCTGTACAAACAAACTTTTGAACACTTTTATTTCGAGAATAATGTTTTCCGGCAATACATCTCATTTTATTGACCCATTAACTTGTCTAGAAATTGCAAAGAATTTTCATATTGATTCCAAAACCTATCTGTTATTTGCATATAAACAAAAGAAATAATAAACTTAATTTTAAGTTCCCAAAACTCCCGTTATTGTCAAGAACCACCTGCAAACATCTCCAGGGTAATCAATAACTCTAAAGCCGCCTCTGTTTTTCCTTTTCATATGACTACGGTTTTACCTCAAAAGTGTTAGGACAAACTCGATGCTTTTTGTCCTTTATTTAATTTTCAAGAATATTTATCAATCCATTTTCGTTTTCAATCCACTCACTAGCTAATGATTAACATCGATTCTTCTTCCCTCATAAATACTAGCTCCTGTTTGTTTTTCTTCCTGAAGGGATTACGAGACGCTCTCAATGTGACGCTCAACCGTTTTATCGTAGCTTACTTAAATTTTTTAACTTCTAATGAAAGAGCTGGAAGTTTATTCCCTTCACTCACGATGATAACTTATATTTATTTGTTTTTTAGTCTGAGAATCTTACTATTAAATTGATCATCTCTGTCATTGTTATTACCTGTTTGCTTGAGAATTTCTTCAAATTACACATTAAGGGGAGTCAAGGGGTTTACCGTTTGTTAACTTATTACAGAGTAATTTGGGAATTCTGCTTTTGAGGCAGAGGGATGGCACAAGTTTCCTTCTGTTTTATTTGAAGCTTGCATGTCACTTAGCTGTCAGTGCCAGTTTTAATAGATTCGGCGAAACAGTAGGCAGTTATAGTAAAAATTTAATTAAACAAGCCTCGTGAAAAAAATGTTAAAAGTCCCTTTTGACAGAGGATATATATATATATTTAAAGGAACTAAGTAAAGCGAAAATTGTGAAAATACTGATCAGCGGGAACAAAGAATGAAGAAACAAGTACAAACAGCTTGTCGTCACATTTTACAAGGAGTCAGATAGGATTACAGCGGCACCTGTATGAGGCGGCACCGCATTAGCGATCACCCTGTATTTAAGCAGTCGTGGTCACCCTTTCCTGGGTCCCAGCGGCTTGTTGTTATCTTTTTAAAAGGCTTGTGTTGTTTTGAAGAAAAAAAGGTCTAGGTTGGAACCTATGTTGATGCTGTTCTTTCATTTTATCGTCTTTTTTTAAAGTCCAAGTGAAAGCTGCTGTTTAGGAGAATCGACTGTTATTATCTTCAAAACGGAGAGGTTTCTTTACTGCCACAAAGTGGGAATGCAGCAAAAAGAAATTTACACACAGCAGTAAAACGAACAACGAATGACAAAACCCTCATTCAAAGTCAAGGTCCTCGATCAGGGTCGTAATTTGTTTTTTTTTTCTCTCGTCAATGTTCTATTTTGATTTTAAAGACAAGACGAAACCTTGATGCACATAATATTACGACCCCTATTTCCTTCCTCTTCAATTACCTTCATAATAACAACATCTCACTAAAGTAAAACCAGCTTTACGATCCAATTTAATCCCTCTGTCTATGCTCCTGCAATTCCTACTTACATTATTTCATTAAAAAATTGAAGTGCACAATAATTTTGGCCATTGGGACATATCATTGAGTCTAAATACGACCTCGTATCTCCAGTCACTGATTACACTAACGACAGCAAACCGCACAAAGCGCTTGTTAGCCACACAGAAGATTTTAGTCATTAAAGCGGAAGACATTTAAGGACCGATTTTAAAATTACGCAGGCTGAATTTTTCTCCGAAACATGTTACTTAGTATGTCTATGATGACGTGTCCAATGTGTCTCATCTTC